TTTATGTAATTTATTATTTTTTATCTTTCGTATGACAGGTTGTCTCTGCCATAGTAGCAAGCTGACAAACTCCCTTTCTTGTACTCCCATTCATACACAGTGCGTGAAAGTCAGGACACAAAGGGAGCACCATCCAACAACTCTCAATCCCAACTGATGTTTATATAAGAGGGTTGCTAAGCTCTCCCCCCACAGCCTTTCCCCCAGGCCAAACTCATCATCCCACAATGAAAACTATCACTAAACCTCACCTCAGCAGTGACACCCCTCTCAACAGTACCCGAAAAGTCAACAGTTTATATTCCGTAGTCCTACCAAAGTCAACCTTGCCTTTATGTCGATCCATTTCCTCCTTCACCCGCACGCTGCTTGAGCTGAACATCAAATCCTCTGAAGCATGGAGGGTTTGTCCACCTGAACAAGATTTCCAGGCTGCATCAAGCCTTCCCCACTCCATTTTAATCCGTCCTATCAGCAAAATTCCAGAAAGTGCCGTGAACCTCAAAAGCGAGAAGATCCCCATATTGTTCCGAGTACTCTACCTCGAAGATCTTACTGCTTCCGGTTTTCCTGGTGCCACCTTTGCCTGGCAACATCCCTGGGAATCAGGGTGGAACCAGTTGATAGCTCACTTTATTCTCAAACACTGGCGACACGCCCACCAGCATGGGGTTTTCAAGCTATTCTACATTGATCCTGTAGAAGCTGCAAATCAAGAACTCCATATGGGAACTTTGCATCGATGGTTTCTCGGTCGCGCGGAAGGTCTTAGGTTGGGCAGGTTCTCAGGAATTCGCGTCAATAACAAAAAAAAATCCGAGTTCAAATCCAAGTTGAGAAGCCAGGTACGGAATTTTAAGCCCTCACTCAACATGTTTATCATCCTAGCTTACCCCGTACCCCAATTCCATCTCTCAGCTTCAGAAACACCGCCAACAAACACTCCACCCTAGACATATCCGAGGAGAACAAACTGCTGTTTGGTCCAATAAAATGCTCATCTGAAACCGAAAAGCAACCAGACAAGTCACTTGTCAAAGTTCCCCTCTGGTGGAGGTCCTCCGAATTCAACCTTCTCGCTGAAAAACTTGACAAAATTCATATACACAAGAAGACAAACACCAAAGGCCCCAAATATGTACAAAGTTACACGATTGAGAATCGCCGATCAAGCCACACGACCCCCGCTCCTCCCACCTTCTCTGATGTTCCAACAAATCTTCCAAGAAACTGCTATTCACCGGAATACATAAATACACTATCTGATACACAAAAACGACTGCTCAACCCTAAACCTTCCATCAACTTTGCTACACTCTTCAGTGAAATCAATAGATTTGGTGAGATCATCTCTCTGTATTTCACCCACTCAAGTTACTCATCAATAACTGAGCAGACTTGTACTCTTCATCACCCCCCAAAGGAACACTCAGCCTAGAAAAATTTCAGCCGGTTTAAATCAGCCACAATGACAGTATTACTTACTCTTAGGGCATATGTTCATCTGAGAAAACCTACATTGCCAACTCTCCTTTCCTTCTCTGTATTTGATGTATATTCATCTCCAGCGTGCCATGTACATAGTACCTATATACATTCACCGGGTTTGCCTGCCCTAGGCGGTAGAGACGGTCAACAGCCTGTGCCTCCATGGCTGGATTCCAGTTTGGTTCCTGAAAAGAAATATAAGTCTACATTAGATCTCCATACATGTGGTTCTTGCCTCTATTCTTCATACTCACCATGATATAAACATTTTGAGCGCATCTCAAATCAATCCCCACCCCTGCTGCTGTAATCGAACCCAGCAGAACATTACACTCTGTATTTCCTCGAAAAACATCCAGGCTTCTGTCACGCTGTGTAATACTCATTTCCCCAGCAAGCCAAGTGCACTTTATCATGTTTGCTAGCAGCCCATTTTCGATTCTTGTATGATAATGAAAAATCTTTTTTGTCAGTAGAAGAAATAATATGCATCTTGCCTCAAATTTCTGCCAACTCACATCTTCAAGAAGCCTACATAGCTTGAGAATACCACTGACTTTGGTGTTCTTCCGTAACTTCCTTGACCAGCCAATTCTTTGAGTTTAGCGA